TTATCAAGGTACTTTCCCATCAGGCTGCTCCCAAGCAGGACTAATAAATGTAGGGCGATGATAGCTCTGAGCTCTCCACGTTTCTCTACGATGCTAAAAGGTTTACCTTGAAATGTCGACGAATGGTTGATCTGGCGCCGCTCCAATTATACTGTTCGGGGCTAATGTTTGCACCAATGGAGTCAATCATCCGAAAGACATTCGAACTTCCTTCTTGGGTAAGCAGTATGCCGGAAGTTGAAAAGTTTTGGAACGCGGAATTGGAAACAATTGAGGGGCATAGAGGTTTACCTGTTCGAACAGTAACCTTTTCTCCAAACGGTCGATGGTTGGCGTCCGGTGCCGGCGATCGCACAATCAAGCTCTGGGACACAGCGACCGGTACACTGCAGTACAACCTCGTGGGGCACCGTAATTCGGTTCTATCAGTAGCATTCGCACCAGATGGCCAGTGGCTTGCATCCGGCTCAGAGGACAAGACCATCAAACTCTGGAACCTGGTGACCGACACACTGAGGACGCTGGAAGGCCATGAGGGCCCTGTCTGGTCAGTAGCTATCTCCGCAGATGGGCAGTTGCTGGCTTCCAGTTCTGGTGATAGCACCGTCAAGGTTTGGAATTCAACGACAGGTTTGCATATGACGTTAAAAGGCCATCGGGGACATGTTCGGTCAATAGCCTTCTCCCAGGACGGGCGATGGCTGGCATCGGGTTCCGACGACCAAAGCATCAAGATATGGGACCCCACGACTGGAGCTTTGCAACATACATTTGAAAGGACGACTTTGGTTGTTGAGTCAGTGGCCTTCTCACCAGATGGCCGACTGGCATCCGGTGCTGGTCCTGTCCAAGTCTGGGACCCAGTGAATCGGGTCCTGCAGCAAACCTTGGGGAGCCTTGAGGATAGGGCTTGGGCAGTCAAATTCTCACCAGATGGTCAGAAGTTAGTATCAAGCTACTTTTTTGATAGGACAATCCGATTATGGGACCTAGCAACTGGGACCCTGCAAAGAACATTCTCAGGCCATCTCTGGAGCGCCCAAAGTCTGGCATTCTCACCCAATGGGCAGCTCCTGGCATCATGCTCCGCAGGCAACCTGATCAAACTTTGGGACCTGGAAACCGCGCCTAGTGATACAGGGGCCGGCCCCCTCGATCCCACGTCTGAGTCACCACGAGCTATCACTCCAGATGGACGATGGTTGGCATCTGTCTCCAAAGGGTTAAATATCAGAATCTGGGATCTGGACATCATGCGCAACAACCAAGCGACCGATGCCACGCGGGTGACGGTGAAGGCGCATGACCATTTGATTGAAGACATGGACATCTCACCAGATGGAAAATGGCTTGCCTCAGCTGGGACAGACAATAACCTGAAGATATGGAACCTGGAGAAAATGATCGACGGGCAAACAGACAACTGCCTACAGCACACGTGTGCAGGGCATACGGCCGCGCTTACAGCTGTGACTTTCTCACCAGATGGACGATGGTTGGCAACCAGCTCCGAAAATAGAACTGTCAAAATCTGGAACTCAAGTACTGGCGCCCTGGAGCAGACACTCGAGGGTCATGAGTGGATTATCAGATCCTTAGCCTATTCCTTAGATGGACGGTGGCTAGCATCAGGCGACCCCAAGGGGACAGTCATAATCTGGGACCCGAGATCTGGCAGTGAAGTGCAAAGAATTGACAGCAAACCCCCTCTATCCACTCTTCGATTCACTGGAGATGGACGCCACGTGCAGTTGAACATGGAAATGTATGACCTACTACCATCTCTCTGCAGTGCCCCTGCTGCTGTAGAGCCCGAAATAGACATACAAGTCCAAGAGGACGGGTGGGTCTATCTCCAAGGGGAGAGTAAGTTTTTGTTGCCACCAAACTTCCGTGGGAGTGTGGCCGTCCATGGTAAGACTATGGCTATAGCCTATAGACCTTTGGGTTTCGAAGGGGCAAAGATTGGTCTTTTTGGATTTCGTTCGTAACCTAGGGGGTGAGTGACTGGCTTCTGCGCTGGAAATAGAGGCATTGAACTGGGGAAACCAATGCTTTTTTATAACAATGTATATCATGTCCCATTCCCATGTTATAGTCGTTTTGTGATGGTTCGGGAGTAGGATCCACAACTGCCATGCTGAAGATTATGGTTATTGTTAGGTATGGTGATACTGGTGATACAACTCAGTTCGAATGATGGGGCAAGATTGATGCAGAACTATCGGCACTAATAGAAAGAGAGTCTGGATACTACTTAGAGGAATGGTTCTAAATTGCCAAAATAGTCGGAGCAGAAATTGGGCTCTGGGGGGAGCCATGTAGAACTGAGATCAGTCTCCAAATGATTTCTTCATTGGTCAGATTGGAGCACAGGTGGTTTTCCCGATGGATTGTCTGCGCCCTTTGAAAACCCGCCGTCGCATATACAGCTCGAGTGTAGCCCTGAGCTTTGAAGCTAGTTGACGTAAATCGTCACTTAGAGCCTTTAATCAATACTATTTACTGTATCTTCCGTGAGAGTCGGTGTCTATGAATACCAGGGGGGTGCTGGTAGAGCCATTTGTGCCTTGACCATAAGATCAAACGCGGCAGGAAGTCATTGAAGTCGCTCTTTACTCCTTTTAGCACTATTAGACACACAATGGGTTTTTGTTTTGGCCAGATGTCAGACCAGTTATCACTGTTGGTTTTAGACTCAGAAAAGGTACACGACAAGCGCGTAACATTCTGCTTATTGAGAACCCTTGTGTGGTGGTGCGAACGAACCACCAGCAATCTAATTCAATCTATTTTGATATGAACCTACCACCAATCATGAGTTCTGTGCGGCCACGAGGGCGTCGGCCGAATCTCCACCCAACGCCGATGTGCCAATTAGGGCGCACGGGGATAAGAGTGGCTCTATCCGCCAGACTCCGGCGGGAAACCGGCCAACCGCCCTAAAATGTCTATTATAAACATCTGATCCACCTCGACCAAACGTGCCTCTCAGAACTCACCATGGCTTGTTAAGTGCGGAACGATGTGTAAGCGCGATTGCTTTATTGGAGCGCGGATGTTGACCTAAGATCTCACCCCTGCATCGCAGGCAACCCCGTCGGAGACACGCGACAATGGCATGATTTGGGCGATACAACAATATTCTGCCCATTGTCATTGAGAGAAAGAAAACAATGTCGGTTCTTCATCAGTCGCAGGAGATCGACATGACAGATATTGCAAAATTGACCTACCTACCCTTTTGGCTGGACAGGTTCCTTGCACCGCGGGGCTGGATGGTGTTGGGGCTGACAGCCTCGGATGGAGACAGCGAGCTGAGGCCAAGACGATCCATCGATCTCATGGGTCCCACGAGGACCCAGTACAGTGTAACCATGAACAACAATGGCCCCTCTGTCTGGTCAATGCATCCCGACCCCTCCCATCAGTCTTCTGCTTCTTGCACCTGAAATGACTACCACCACCGGTCGCAGACTAAACCAGCGCGATAGGAACGGCTGCGACCTGGCCGTTTTGCAACCGGTCTAGATAGATAGGCCATGTGCGCTATCTACCTTCAACACTAAATCAGACTTTAAGCCGGCTGACACCCCCACTGCTAGGCAAAAGTTAGTGCATCCTATTGTCGCAGTGGCTTCAAACAAACCGAGGCCATTGTTATAGGCCACGTCTCCTGAGAGGCGGAGACTGACAAGACTTTAGCCTGGGGTGGAGGATATATAGTCTGGCTATCTACCCCTGTTGGTTCTTTACTAAACATTTCCCCAAATTCCTACTAGCCTACACCACTACACAATGGGCGACGCCGCAGGACTTCCCGACTACGTTCTGGACCCCAATGCGGTCCTCAACGACACAGACGCCGCCTGGCGTCACGGTGGTCCTCCGGACTACAGCAAGACCCGGGCCTACTACGAAGAGAGTACGCCTCCTACCAAACCAACCACACCCTTGTACCGATACTAACGATCTCAATTGACAGCCAAGAAAATGACCCACGAATCCGGCAGCCTCCCCTTCCTCGTCGAGAACCTCGTCAAGAACTGGGAAATCGAAGCGTCCTTCAAGACCAACCTCGCGGACTGGCGCACCATCGACCACGAGACATACCACTTCACATTGAACGGCGGACCCCCGCTGAGCGGCGAACACATGCTGAAAGTCGGCACATACAATGCCCTCCTCACGCCGAGTGCGTACTACGACCCTGCCAATAATGATTTCGAGGCGAGTCATAAGTCGTTTAAGCGCATGATGCCGACGTTTGCCTGGGAGGTGCTGGAGGTATATAGCGGGCCGCCGGTTGTGGTGTTTAAGTGGAGGCATTGGGGTGTTATGGCTAGGGATTATGTTGGGTTTAATGAGTATGATCCCTCCTTTTCTTGTGAATATCTGCGTGGATGGGGACTAATAATGGTATAGCAAGGGAGAAAAGGTCAAGATCGCCGCGCACGGCGGACCTATCGATATCCAGGGTATCGTGATCGCCAAGGTCAATGATGCGCTGAAGCTGCAGCGTATCGATGTGTGGTTCGATCCGCTGGAGATGTTCCGCCAGATTGCCAAGGATCATGAACAGACCAAGGTGGAGGGCGAGGAGAAGACTGCTTCGGGGTGTCCGTTTGCGGGAGCGAAGGAGTAGATGGAATGTATATGTAGATTAAGTATATGTTAGGATACGAATTTCTTTACGGGTTATTTTTGGTCCTCATTCTGATAGTATACCATCTTTCGTAGTTTGTTCTCCTTGGCTTGGGTATCAGCTCATGCTTGTTGCTAACTTCTGTAAGATCAATGACATCTACCACAGGCAGTGTCACGGATGATCGGAGACTATGGTGCCAGGTTTAGGGTATCATGCATTCAATCCCGTGTATACTGGTTCATAACTTATTACATTGAAGGTATTCCACCTCATGGAGTCTAGAAAGTGCCCTCACTACCTCCTCCATCTGCACACACCGGAAATGACCAGTCAATGCACACCTGCCACCCACCTACAAAGTCGCCGGATTGACCTTGCAATAATCCAAATTATGAATATTGGTGTTGGGATTGCCCGCCCAAGTCCTATCCCACAATTAGCATCTCACACACACTCTCAAATCACCAAAGGGATAACTCACGGAAACGCATGCTCCACTCCACTCCCACCAAACACCGCAAACGTAAGAATAAACACGCAAATCTGCGTGCCACCATCCAACGCCGCCGAGACAATATAATTATACTTGTTGAACAGCTGGGGATGATACCGTCTGAGCCAGAACTGGGCCGCAAATCCCAGCAGGAAATACGACATGATGGAGGCGTTAATCCCCACGAACAACCAGCCCATGTACCAGAGAATAATGGAGGTGTTGAGGTAGGAGAAGATCGGGTGCGGGTAGTATCTGTTGGCGAGCCAGAAGGGTACCGGCACGATGAAGCCGACGAGGTAGGCTATGGTTACCCATTCGTAGCGGCCGCCGATGGAGAACATGTCGTTGGCGATGCTCCAGGCTATGGCGAGACTGTTGAATTGGTTTGGGGGTGTTAGTTCGGGTGTAAATGGTGGGATGGGGTAGGGGGGACTTATTTGAACGTTGGCACCACTCCAGATGTTGGTGCCGTCGATGGAGATGAGGACTTCGGATTGGTTTCGGACGATGCTTTGTTTATAGTCAGTGGGGGTAAGTGGGTACCGGGAGGTAGGGAGCATACATCAGCATCATCACGTAGTTGAATAGAGCACCGATGATGCAGCCCATTACTTGCACGAAGAAGGTGCACTTCGGAGATAGATGCACTTGCTGCGCTAGTCGTAGATCCTTGGCCAAGACTTGTCCCTGCTGCAGCGAGTTGTAGGTGAAGCAGGTGAAGTAGAGGTCTGTGGGTTAGCTGGGTCAGACAGTCGAGCGAAAGTTCACTTACTAGCCAACGGCTTCCCCGGGAACATGTAGCCCGCCAGCATCTGACAGATAGGCTGAACGTTGAACTGAAACCCAGTCAATCCGTATTGCGCACCGAAGAAGAGCATAAACACCAGCGTGAGGATGTTGCCGACGATGAATCCCCACCACGGCAGCGTAGACTTCATCGCATACAAGCAGCCTAAGCCAACGGCAAAGCTCGCAATCAAGACAGCACCCCACCACCACAGCGGAGTATCCTGATAGAGGTTGCGCAGCATAAGACGGTAGTGTGGATCGAGTGTTTCGTCGTTGACGCGTCGTGCGAGACGCTCCTCGGGGGTTTCCTGGTTCTTCCAGAACTTGTAGGTCTCCAGCTTCAGCCACTTCTTGAGTTTGCTGGGGGCAGCCCAGGCCCAGCCGACCTTGATGTCGTCGAAATCCCACAGCAACATGTGGGTCAGTGTGGCGGTCACTCCCATGTTCGAGGTGATGAGGTATACCACGTATGTTCCAGTCAGCCAGGGCAGACCCTGCTCTTTGAGGGCCGCAGGGTCGACAATGTATTCAGAATTGAGGATCAGGGTCTGGTTGTACTCATTGTAGTAGGTGGAGTTGGAGTCGCCGTAGTAAAGCAACTGGGACAAGAACGGGAAGTCTTGAGAGCGCCAGATATTGCCATAGTAGACGGCCATGAAGAGGATGATGCAGAACAGGTATCCGATGAAATTGTTGGTCATAGCGTACAGCGGATACCATAGTGGCGAACCCAGCGAGGCGATGTAGTTCCAATCGAACGAGAGGGAGAGAAATCCGAGTCCTTCGTTTCCGGAAGCACCGCCGAACAGGTTGGTGAAGACCAGACTGTGCTGATCGGCCAGGCAGAAGATCGAGAAACCCTCCAGAAGGGGAAAGATGTACTCGGGGATGATGGTCCAGAAGAAGAGGATGCAGAAGAAGATGTAGAAGATCTTCAACCGTGCCTTGGACTGTGCCTTGTCTTTGTGCAATGACTCCAACAAACTGCTGATGGGCAGGGTCATGGGCCAGATCATCTTGGTTGGCCGCACGATGACATCGCGCAGCAGACCGGCGATACCGAAACCAATCAGCTGAGATGACAGCACGATGAAGACAGCAGCAGCGTGGTTCGGGTATCCACCGTAGAAGAGTTGCTGGGCTGACAAGGCCTCGGTGGCCAGCGCGGACTGTGTAGCGGCGGAGGACATGAGGGAAATGGCGGCATGTTCTTTGGCATTGAAAGGGCCCGGGTTGAGTAACTTTCCGACAACACCGCGACGAGGGATAACATATGCCATGAGCTCTCCCAAGATGTAGGCAATGACCGTGAGGAAGACCTGCGAGACGTAGATGGTCTGCGGCTTGAAATAGAAGATCTCCTGGAGCACACCGCCGAAGATGGACAGCCCGGCACCTACAGGAGCTTAGCAATTAAAACACGTCGTAGCGGAGACAATATTACCCAAGAAGACCATGCGAAAGCTCCATGGGTTCAGGGATGGATCATCCTCGACCTTGATGATATGAGTGACGAGATCTTGAGCCGTGCTCACCACCTGGTCGCTGTCATAGTCATCATCCTCACCAATGCGCACCGTCTGCCCCTTTTCGAGCACCTGAGGCTCTAACGCAGGAGAGTCCTGACTTGACTTCTCATTGTAACTCGGTATCTCCTGCTCGGGAGACACACTGGCCGACTTGGTCTCCATGATCGATGAATGAGGTCTGACTGGACGGTATTTCCCCGACGCTGCAGGAGGGGTAACCTGCATTATATACGAGGCCAGCCCGGAAAAAAGCCTCACTGGTAGAAGCAGCAGCAGTAGCACATGGTGGTTGCCACATGGGACTCACGATAAGAGCTGCAGAGTAGAGTGGCTCTCGCTATGCACAGGGTCTCTCTGCACAAGGTCAAGCACTCAACCCTGCAGGCTAAGCATTTTTAGCGTAGGACGCGATAAGGCAGGATCTAAAAACGCTGAGATAGTGTGTAATTGATTGTATCTGACTGTCTGCAGATGCAATCCGAACGAGTTCATTGGACTCGATAAGGGCATGGTAGTTCGGTTGGCATCGCTTCACGTTGGTTCAATAATAAACCACTGGAATGCCGGCATCCCCAGAACCCTGGCCCACTAGTATACGAGCCTTATCTGTCATTTGTGGAATTGAATTTCTGTAAGACATGCAGATGCCGATAAGGCGATTGTGCAGCCATTGTACGGTCGGGTTTCACTGAGGGGATATGTCTGCACCGATGCGAGCCGATGGAGGACCATGGAGAGGTGGCATTGGCTGTGGGAGAAATAAATGAGCTCAACGGCCCAACTAATATAACTACACACCATACGTAATGAAAGGTGCTTCTTACACATATCCCTCTCCTATTTCTCAGCTTGTCTCCCTCTGTCTCTGTCTCTTTCTCTCCCTCTCTCTCTTTTGTCTGTGTCGGCACTAACCCGAATGAGCGGGTATCGGCAGTCCGACGGATCTCCGGGGGCCGCACGTCCAGTGCCGATCGCTACCCAACTAAGCAGAAGAGTGAGGAGTGGGCAGTGGTGTCACCGACCATAAAAATGCTTGCTTTGCCCATCCAGCCATCGCTCGTCCTGTCTGCTCCAGTCGTACCAGTCTCGCCCCCAAGGCCGCGCATCTGAAACCAACCGGTTGGATGAAATCACCCGTCGGGTGGCACCCGAGCGGCCACTGGCTGGGATCATCGCCCGCAACGCGTCAACAGCAATCAAACCGAAGGATGCGAGATTATTCAGCGGGCGCTTCCATTCCATTTTTCCGTTCCTGACACTGCCTCTCATCCTACTGTAACATTATTGTTGTGATTATTTTTATTCTGGGTGATGTGTCCACTGCACGGCACGTGGAATGAGAATTTCCCCCCTCGGGACGAGTAACCATGGCGCAGTTGGGGTTGTGTGTGTCGGCTGTCCGAGAATCGCCCTAAACTCCGAGGCACGCACCATTGCCAATTAATTCCCTTCTGATTGATTTCTGCCTGTCCCTTCGACCCTTTTGACCCTTGGTGACCCTTTGACCCTGGATTCAGGGGCTTGGTGGACTCACAGCGATGGGGATAGGGACTTTTGACCCTGTTGACCCTGTGACCCTCCCATTTTCCCTGGCCTAAGTACGAAGTAGTCGTAATTATAGTAAAACTCTTGCGTGGACTGGGGCAAAAGGGGAACAGAACTTATCCATGTCCGAGCAGCGATCGGCCAGTCACCAAGCCGGCTGGATCCGAGACCCGCTGCGTGGGAACTCCCAAGAGTCGTTAAGCAAAGCCAAGAGATCAGCCAAGATGTCGCTCACGAGCCTAATTGCTGGATTCCATATCGCTGATGTTCTTTGTATTACCGCGTAAGATTTTATCATCATTATCATCATCGTCATTTCTGGGGGCTGTCAGCTAGTATCTAACTAGTCTCAAGATACTAAAATTACTACTCAATCAGAGAGACTGGCTGGCTCCCCCAATGGTAGCGCCGTTCCATCAGGCCCAGTCTCTCTGCCCATCCTGACACAACCTTCAGGGGGACCAATGGGCTTTTTCCGTAGGCAGCAGGCAAATGCGGCCCTAACAAGTAACAACTAATAAGAGTCCAGACTAGCAAAGGTTCGCCTCGCCGGTCTCCATCTCTTCCTTCTTAGTCTTCCCATTTCCTCCCTCCCACTTGGTCTCTCGCTCCAGATTCTCTTTCTCTTTCTTCTTTCATCCATCCATCTTGTATCCTTTTGCTTAGCCTTTTTGTTTGGTTTTCTTCCTCTCGTTAACCACCACATTCGCTCTATCTTAATACAACAACCACACTCGTTCTATAGCATCGTCTTCTTTCGTTCCCCCTCACTATGAAGCTCGCCGTCTCTGCTGTAGCGGCGGCTGCCCTCGTCGACGTGGCTGTCGCCTCTGCCCCAGCCATCGTCATTAAGGTACTACCATTGCCAAGTTATCCACGATCCCACTGACCCTTCCTAGGGCTCCAAATTCTTCTACGAAAACAACGGCACGGAATTGTATGTTACTATCCCCTTTACTTCCTCCATAAGCACTGCTAACCTGCCCCAGCTTCATCCGTGGTGTGGCCTACCAGCGTAAGCAGCAACCTAACATGCCAACTGGGCCTGTTGCCTCAAACTAATAATACAACAGCCCCCTATGATGACGACGGCACGACGACCTCCGCTGGCACGGTCGATTTCGTCGATCCCCTCGCCAATGAGACCATCTGCAAGCGGGATCTGCCCTACCTGCAGGAACTCAACACCAACGTGGTGCGTGTCTACGACGTCGACCCAGACGCGGACCACACCACCTGTATGAACCTGTTCGCCGACGCAGGTATCTACGTGCTGGCGGATCTGTCCTCCGCCGACAACTCCATTGACAGCAGCGACCCGGAGTGGACCATTGACCTGTACAACTACTACGCCAGCGTAGTCGACTCGCTGGCCAACTACACCAACACTCTGGGCTTCTTCGCGGGTAACGAGAACTCCAACAGTGTCAACACCACCGGTGCCAGTGCCTACGTCAAGGCCGCCGTGCGTGACATGAAGGCCTACATCAAGTCCAAGAACTACCGCTCCATCGGTGTCGGTTACTCCGCTGCTGATGTCTCCGAGATCCGTACCGACCTCGTCGACTACTTCAACTGCGGTGACTCGGACGAATCCGTCGACTTCTTCGGTGACAATGTCTACGAGTGGTGCGGTGACTCCACCTACACCGAGTCCGGCTACAACGTCATGACCGAGGATCTGAGCAACTACTCCGTCCCTTACTTCTTCTCCGAGTACGGTTGTATCACCGTCCAGCCTCGTTCCTTCAGCAACGTCCCCGTCATGTACGGCCCTAAGATGGACTACTGGCTTGCCGGTGGTATTGTCTACGAGTACTTCCAGGATGCCAACGACTACGGTATGTCCAGCACCTCCTCCCTCCCCCTTCACCTTCCCACCTTCCCACCAATCCACTCACTAACCCCATCCAGGTCTGGTCACCATCTCCGACGGCTCCGTCAGCACTCTGACCGGCTTCTCCTCGTACTCGAAGGAAATCAACAGCGTCAGCCCCACCGGCACCAACAGCGCCAGCTACACTCCCACCAACACCGTCGCCCGGTCCTGCCCGACCGTCGGCTCAAGCTGGGAAGCCGCCAGCGCATTGCCCCCGGCGCCCAACTCGGAACTCTGCTCCTGCATGGAAGAGACCCTCTCATGCGTGGTGAAGGACAGCGTGTCGAGCAAGAAGTACGCCGACCTGTACAGCACCGTCTGCGGCTACGGCGTGTGCGAGGGCATCACCGGTAACGCCACCACGGGCAAGTACGGTGCCTACAGCATGTGCACGACCAAGCAGATGCTCAACTGGGCCTTGAACGCCTACTACGAGGAGCAGAAGGAGAAGGGTAACGGTGCCTCCGCTTGTGACTTTGCTGGCTCGGCTACTACTACCTCGACTACTTCTCCTACTGGTACTTGCTCTTCTCTGCTCAAGGCTGTTGGCACCGCTGGTACGGGTACCGTGTCGTTGTCTGCTGCTGCTGGTACGAGCACTGGTGACTCCGGTAGCAGTGGTTCGGAGAGTAGCTCTGCTGGTGTGCCAGGTTACATGAGCTACACTGCTACGCTTGGGTTGGGTCAGTTGGTGGTGTTTGTCGCTGTGGGTGTGTTGTCTGGTACTGGAATGATCCTTTTGTAGATTGTTAGTCTATAGGGGATTGTGTAATAGTGAAGATGTAAAGAGGTTGTAGGAAGGTGGGATTGATGTATTAGTGTTGGTCAATTTATATATATTTTTGCGATTTGTATTCAATATTTGTTAGGATAATTGTATAACAGAGGTTGATTCTCTGGGTTATAAGACATTCCCAGATAATAATAGCGAGTAACCGACCACCTCACCGGGACAAGGTGGAAAAAGAAATAATCAAGGAGGGAGAAGGCACCCACTTCAATAGTGCCTCACTAGTCGCTCGTCAGGCTGCGCCATTACTCGCTACTTTGGGGAAGAGGAAAAAGTGGAGATTTCAATTTGTCCAATGTTAGGCGTGCAGTACGGTAGAGGGGGGCGCTACTGGGTCCAGAAAGCTTGTGTTGTTGTGGGTTTTCGTTAGTTGGTTGCATCGTGGGATTGGATGTAGGGGGGTTGGTTGGCGGGTGACTTTGAGTAATATGTCAACCTGTGGGCAAAGGTAGTATTATAGGGAATAAAGAAACTAAGTAGTAGGATTGAAATGGATTTATTGTAGATTTTCAGAATCATGGGAACTAATCGATGCGTTATAGTATTGTGACTTGTACAAATATATTATGATTTCGAGATGCCCTACTTGTTCGATTGAGCACGAATATTATTTTGCTTCGCTTCTGCACATAATGGCTGTGCAGGATAGCTAGATACCCCTTATATTATTGTAGGTAAAAGAACACACTAGGTGTTACAGAATGGATATACCAGTCAAACATGACAGCTCACTACCAATTCCCACTGAGACATTGAAGAAATCCCGAGATCCACAACCCAAACGGGAGCACGGCTCGGAGTATCTGATTGGCAGCGCAATGCTTTATTTAGCATCTTCTATCACGTGCATATCCGATGGGAAATCTCGCTCCGCCATTGCCGAATCCTTGCAGATCGCAAAGATACTTTCTTTCATGCCGGATGCGGGCTATTTATGCCAGTGACTCG